TGTGTCATTCTCTGTGATTGGGAGTATTTTACTCCCTGCCTCTGCATGTTGGAAGTATATCATTTTTCTTTGCTTTTTTCATTTTTAGGGGCTCATAACTAAGGGGTTACCTTGAGTATTAGAAGAGACATCCAGCTTTGTCAAAGGCTGCCACCGATGTGATGGCCGTGGTTTAAGTCCCTCGAGAGACCATGCCCTCCAGGTCAGGACAGGGCAAGTTATCTGCAGTGAGACCCGGAGACAGGTGTACCATCCTCCTGTCTACCACGGGATGGTTCGCAAGCCAGGAAAGGGGCTGGAGATTGAAACACACACACACAACATGGGTCATCCTTGAAAGAAGAATGCCCCTTTTATTGTGCTCCAGGGCAGTTTATATAGGGCTCTCCTTGACTAATGGCCACGCCCTAGCTCTCAAGAGTTTTCAGCTGCAAGCCCACCAGAAACCACTCCCCTGCCATCAGGAACTCACAAGGGTCTCATGCCCAGAGCAGCTGCAAGCACAGGAAACAAGCTGTTTACTCCGGCAGGCAAGGGGTCACAGAAAATTTGGAGTCTGAGGGTCCGCAGTCCCCAACAGGCAGGTTACAGAGAGATGCTCAGGAAAAGTACAGAGAGGAGCCAGCCTCACCTCAGAGGCCTTCTAGCTCCTGCCTTACAGCTAACATTTCTGCAGCAGTTACCTGGGGGAACCTGACGCTTACATGGTACCCCTCAAAGATGAAAGTAGCCAGCACCGTGGCCCTAGGCTCTCCCTCTGTGATTGCGAAGCTGGGGCATAAGGACCCCAAGTCTGGTGAGACGCAGTGCAATGACTGGTTTTCTGTCAACTCGGCACACATTAGCATCATTTCTAAAAGAGGAAGCCTCAACTGAGAAAATGGCCCACCAGACCGACCGTGGGCAATCCTCTGGTACATTTTCTTGTTTGATCAGGGAGGGCCCAGGTCACTCTGGCAGGGCCATCTGTGGGCTGGCGATCCTGGGTGCCGTAAGGAAACAGGCTGAGCAAGCCATGAGGCGCATCAGTTTCTGCCTCCAGTTCCTGCCCTATTGAGTTCCTGTCCTGACTTCCCTGGGTGATGGACTGTGATGTGGAACTGTAGGCTTAAATAAACCCTTTCCTCCCCAAGTTGCTTTTGGTCATGGTGTTTTATCATCATAGTAATAATAATCACAAGATGTCATAATAGACAGCCTGGCTCTAAGTTAAAAGGGCCATGGCTATAACTCTGTGGTAGAACACTAGCCTGGAACAAATAGGTCTTTGGGTTCAATTCCCAGTATCCATAGTAAACAATAAATCTTTGCCAACACAAACCCCTAATCTGGCTTTCCTCCTCAGGCCTTGAGATGTGTTTCTGAACTATTTAAGACAACAGAATAATGCCTGGACAGTGAGGGGTTGCTTTAGTATGTCCTGGCTTTCCATTAGGAAGAAGATGGCACTGAGGAAACAAGGCTTGTGTGGTGCTATTTTATGCCCAAAGGTCACGGGTAAAAGTTGCCATTACAGAATATGGGAAGTTCCTGGCCTTGAGGTAGTCAAGAGGGAGAGAAAACACCCCCAGGTCCTTATTCCCGAATCTTACCTGGGAGCACCCAGCGTGAGCATTGCAGCTGAGCTAGGGGTCTAGAGGAAGACACCTGGCAGTTAACATGCAAACATAATAGAAGTCCCCCCTTCTGAGGGGGAGGTAGTCAGGAAGAGTCAGCTGCTGGCTGGGTAGCAACACCAAACCTGCCAGGCTGGGTGTGGCGCCTGAGTCAAAAAGGAAGACTGAAGATGTTCATTAAATCACGGCAACCGTTCAAATAAGCTAAGCACCGCTTCAAGCTGTGTGCTTAGACAAAGAACTGTAGAAGGGGGCAGGGAGCTAGGGAGGAAGGAGGAAGAGAGAGCGTGCACCATACAGACCAAACCTGAGTCTTGGCTAACTTCAGTCTACTGAGGAGCAAAGACTGTCAAGTCCTCAGAATGGTCAAAACACAAAGGCGCAGCTACATTCAAATTAAGGGTTAGGAAATGAACTGGAGTTTCACTTGGCTCTTTGTAAAAGAAATAAATCCAGGGAGCTCTGAGCAGTTGACATTTCTGGAGGGTCATTCAGCAACACTTCCATTCTGGTGCTCAAGGGCTTTGCAGTTTGGTATTCTAGTGGACTGTGCAGTCTCTCCACACAGAGGATCCTACTGGGCCTACAGAACAGTCTTTAAATTCGGCAATCAATGGAATTGAGGCCCAATCAGTTCAGCACAAGAACCGGGAAAACTGGTTTTATTTTCAGAATTAAGTTTCATGGCTTTTCTGGTTTGAAAAAAAAAAAAAAGTCTCCCCTGCCACAGATTTATAGACTCTATAAGCTAGCTGGGAAATGACAGGACAAAGAAACTCACAAAAAATGCCAAGTGCACAGCAATGTTCAAGGCTGCAGAGGAACTGGGCTGCAGAGGAGCTGGGCTGTAAGTCCGAGCATTCTGACCCGTGTCTTCCTTTTCTGAGTCTCCCAAGATTCCACCCATTAGCCCTCATGTTAAAGAAAAATCACGGACAACCATTGTTTGAGACTCGGCACTAGGGCCAATAGATCAAAATGGAGCCACCTATACCACATTCAATGACATCAAAAAATTGTTAAAGTTACAGAGAAATTGGAAGGCTTGGAACAGCCAAATTTCTGGGGGGGGTTCGCTCTCCTCCCCACCTCCTTCTCTAGTCTTCAGGAGAATCGGCTTTACTGAGGGAGAATCTCCAAGGTCATGTGATTGACAGGCCCAGCTGGATAACATTTAAGAAGGGAACAGGCAATAATGTTCTAATAATGGCTCCACTCTGGTCACAGATAAAACTCAGACTCCATTTTTTTTTTTGTTGCTTTGTTTTGCTTTTTTTTTTAAGATTTATTTATTTATTATGTATACAACATTCTGCCTCGATGTATGCCTGCACGCCAGAGCAGGGCGCCAGATCTCAGCACAGATGGTTTTGAGCCACCATGTGGTTGCTGGGAATTGAACTCAGGACCTCTGGAAGAGCAGCCAGTGCTCTTAACATCTGAGCCATCTCTCCAGCCCCTTTGTTTTGCTTTTTTGAGACAGGATTTCTCTGTGTAACCCTGGCTGTCCTGGAACTCAGAGATCCACCTGCCTCTGTCTCCCAAGTGCTGGGATTAAAGGTGTGTGCCACCATGCCTGGCTCCAGATTCCAACCTTTTAATCAAAAGAAAGTAGTTTTCCTTTAAGGGGTCTAAACAAAACCCTGATGCCTTTGCCTTGCAGTATTTCACATTTGAAAGACAATTGCGAAGCTTCACTTTTTAAAAATTGGTGTGCCCAGGGAAATGGGAGGTGGGGTCCCAAGCTGAGCACGAGGGGGAGGGGGCATCCTCCATGACTTGCAGGCCTCTCTGGCCAGCTCACTAAATGTCCCCAACAGGCCAGTGTTGCTCAGCATGAAGTTCCCTCCCTGTGTGACTGTGACGTCTTCCCTGTTTCAGTCCTTACAACAGAAAACAACCGCCTTGCCCAGGGTAGGAGAGCGGCTTTGAAATGGGTAGTCTGCTGTGTCGTGTTCTTTTCCACCTGCGAGCCAACCTCTGCTCCGCTCAGAGACCACTCTGCTCCGCCCAACAGCGTTGCCTGATTATCTAGGACCTCGGAGACAATTACGTTCTTTATATGGGCTGTAATTGTGCTTTTTCACACTCCCTGTTCACCTCTGCCCCTGTCCCTGGACGGTGTGGAATTACCTCCTCATTTCCAGACGTCTCCCCCCCATCTGTCCTCCACTCCACTCCAACCCCTGGTGGGTTCTCTCTAGGTCTTGGGCAGGGCAATCTCCAAAGTCTACCGAGACGGCCACATCAGGGCACATCATCTTCAGCTTGCTAGAAAGGTCCGCTCCTGTCCGTGGAGGAAGGAAAACCGAGGATGAGGATGGGACAGGGGAGCAGCCCGAGGAAACACCTTCCAGTCGCTTATTAACCTCCAAGTCCTTGAGAGCGCTTCGATTATTTTTTCTGGCGACATTTCACTTTCATCCTGACAGGTGTGTTAGGCCAGAGTATCATTAGAAAGGTTTTTATTGAGGAGGAAGAGGGACCAAGGGTCACCCCACACCCCACTCCACCCCCAGGAAATCTGGTGGCGGTTCCCTTGTTTTTTATCTCTAGCGGCAATTCTCAGACTCAAGCACCCACACCCACACCCAACCCCAAGTCTTGCTTCTAATGCTGGCTTACAGGCTCATAAGAACCTGTAAGGACGAAAGTACTATGTCTTTTTTTTTTTTTTTTTTTTTTTTTTTTTTTTTTTTTTTTTT